TGTACATTATGGTGTACATAAGGGTGTCCATTATGGACACCCTTATGTACAAGAAGAATAATCCTTTTTGGCATACTGTCAGACTTTTCACAGAGGCTTTACATAATTTCAAAAAAAAAGGCGACGTGGCTAAAAAAGGAAAAACGAGGGAAGAGAGATTTTTACCTTGTACACGCTGCACAATCTTTTTCCTAAAATAAAGTCGAATAAATCTAAATATACAATATTGGTTGACAACAATGTTTGACAATCATGTGTTGTCAAAATCCTAGCATGTGATGTAAAAAATAATTTTTAAAATGGATGAATATGATGATGTCAAATAAAATGTTGTCAACTAATATTGTACGTGTAGCATTATTCAATAGAGCATTATAAACACTGAGAACACAACTTCAAGGTGTAAGAAGTTTACAGCTCGAACAATTGAAAAAATGGATCTAAATTTGTCTTCTCCAACCCCTCGAGATAAAAACTGAGAAAGAGGCCTTTGAAGGTGGAAAAAGTTTCCAGTTTCGGCAATCGACAAAATCAGTCCAAGTTCGTCTTCTCCAACCAAGTTAGTCTTCTCCAACTGCTCGACCCCTTGCCTCAACTAATTTTCGGTTCGAAAAAAGACCGTCAATCGTGATTGAAGTAGAATTTTACCCACATACGATGTTTAACCAAGTGAGCCAACTTCAATATTCTAGATTTCTTTAGTATTGTGCATTTTGAACTTGTAATGTTTCATTAAATGCATTATGTGAAATCGAGGAAAATTTTCCAGTCTCAGAATTAAATCTAAAAAATATATTGTTTCATTCTTCTCACATTTCGAATTATGATGTAAAAATTCCATCTAGTTATTGTGTTTTATTGGTTTTTCAACTGTAGTTACAAATTGGTTATTGTGCTGTAATTTCATCTAGTTATTGTGCTGTTATTGATTTTTATTTTGCTGAACATTACCACTTATTTGGTTTCAGCACACGAAATTATGGAAGACATGAATGAAGATCCTTTCGGGCAGTCCAATAACGAGAGAATTGCGTACAGTATCAATATTATGGACAAAGAAACATTAGGATGAGATGGAGAGATTGTGCCTGAGGTGGGTATGACGTTTATGGATGAAAAATAGTTGTTTGATTTCTACAAAAGATATGCTTAGGTTGTAGATTTTCCAGTTAGGAAAAAAAATTCAAAAAAAAGAGGACGATAGAGTTGTTAGATATGTGATGTTCACATGTAGATATGAAGGTCGAAGAAGCAGTAATACAAACATTACTTTGAAGCCACAACCAACAAGTCAGACATATTGTAAAGCAAGGATATCTGCATCTTCAAATAATCATTTAACTTTGGTTGACGGATGCGATGCCGGAGGTGGAGACGGTTTCCAAGGTTTCAAATAGAGAAAAGGAGAAGTAAGAGCATTCAACTTTTGGGGTTGGAGATTAGTGCAGTTGTTGTGGATGGAGGCGCCGGTCGAAAGTGGAGAACACAATGGCGATTCGAAAGGTTTCAAATGGAGAAATTGGGAATTAGGGCCCTGTTTGAGCTACCTTTTTGTAGAATGAGAATGAAAAATATAGCCGTTATTGGAGTTCACTTAAGAGATAGAAAATTTGAATTTAAATGTAGATGTGNCACATTTTTGTAGAATGAGAATGAAAAATATAGTCGTTATTGAGATTCACACAAGAGATAGAAAATTTGAATTTAAATGTTGATGTGATGGATAACGGTCATATTTTTCATTTTAATGAGATAAAAAGGTGGTCCAAACGGGGGCTAGCTAGATATACTTTGCTTTTGCCTTTTTCCTTTTCCCTTCCGTTTTTTAAATAGAGGTACATGCCACGTCATTCTGTGAAACCTCTGTGAAGCTTCATTCTATACGTGTAGCGAGATCGTAGTTTTAAATCTCAAAACTCTGTCACCTAACATCTTCTAAATAAATGAAAATTACTTAGTCTCTGTTTGTTTTCTTTTTTTTTTTTTTTGGAAAATGATGTTTTGAATAATGATTTTGGAAAATGTGTGGTTAGAAAGTCGACAAAAGTTTTGAATTTATGTGTAAAATATTTTATTGTGTGAATGTGTTGTTTAAAATGAGTATGAGAAAAAAAAGTTTTGAAAAAAAAGGAAGACAAATAGGGACTTAAGTAATAGCCACTTTGCAACACTTAATTGTTGTGTGGTATGCGAACTTACTACTAAGGACGACAATTGTGTTAAAGTGTCAAAACTTAAAAGTAGTGAAAAGTTTAGGGGCTGTTCTCTTTGTATTTTAAGTTTTGAATTCATTTTGTATTTTGTGTTTTGAGTGTCTCTTGGAAATTTCTGAAAACGCGTTCTTTTTACCATTTTGAAAAACTGTTTCTGAAANCTGAAAATGCGCTCTTTTTACTATTCTGAAAAACTGTTTTTGAAAACATAAAAATGAAAATGCGTTTACTTTGAAATTTTGAGAATTTTTTTTAATAATATTTTAGAAGAATGCATGGCCACATAAATTTTGCATCTAGACATCAAGAAAACTCGGTAAGAATATTGTCTACAAATATTATTCAAGGAGTCGAAAAAAACATCAAGTTCAATTTTCTTTACCTTAATTTTTGTCATAAGAACTCTGCTAGATGAACGCTGCTTATATCCTCACACCTTAATCTCTTGAAAAATATGAAATGGTTTGATTTTGATATCATGATCCAAATTACAAAGTATAGAACACCAATTCGATAAAACAGAAGCAACTAGGCATTGCAATCAAGAATACATAATCTTCCCAACCCACAAAGAAATAAAAGAAAGTTGAATTGTAGACATTAAACATAAATTTGCAATCACATTAAATTCAGTATAGCATAAAATTACCAGTTAAGACAAATCAAATAAATTCAAGATGCTAGAATACTTGTACATTATTTCTTTCTGCTCGCTAATTAAACTGTGACTTCAGGGTTTTATACAAAAATGCTATGGAAAAATCCCCAACTTAAACAAATTGTAAGTACTTAACTATCCATTTGTCCTTCGGGTAATCCTAATATAAGCATCTTCTTTACGAGTGAAATATAAAGAAAACTCGCATTCATCCTTTTTGTTCTACCATTTTCATCTTAAAGTTCACTTTCCCCTTTCAAATACAATCCGTAAAACTTAAGGCATAAGAAACATATACATCATAACAACTTTGTACATCTACTCCTATTTTCTAAACATGTTAAACCATCCTAACCAACATGAAAGCTCTAGAGAGTGATGAAAAAGAAAACAACTTATAAAAATTCCGAACTTGCAAAAACTGTAATGGTGTTTCAGTTAAATACAGTTTTGAGTAGTTAAATTGTAATCCTATGGATCATCAAAGTTTGCATTCAGAAGAGGATGGAATAGATTTGTGAGAGGAAATGGATTAATGGCTAATGGAGTTATATCTTTCAAGAACACAAC